TTCTATCTGATGTAACTGTGATATCCAAGAAGAATATTGCTATCAAGATAATACTATTATACTTGGAGAATCTCTCCTGTCCAGAAAATTTGCCTTCACTTGTTTTCAGACTTTTTCTTTGTTTCAGTGTTCTCATAGGATTCAATATTCTCCTATAAAGAGGCCATGTACTCCCAGATTTCTTATTAGCAATTATTTCTACAGAGTTTTAAAGATATGTATGAAGGCAGCCTGGGTAATCAACCTGACCAAGAAGGACTTAATGATTAAAGCAATCATGACAGTTGTATAACTGCTGTTTAGTCCAAACATCAGAGAGTCATCTTAGAGTCAAATAGTGCAGAAACAGCCCTTTCAGTCCAATACATCCATGCTGACCAGGTTTCCCAAACTAGTCCCGTTTGCCTGTGTTTGGTCCATATCCCTCTAAACCTTTCCCATTCATGTATCTGTCCAACTGTCTTTTCAATGTTGTAATTGTACCTGCCTCTAACACTTCCTCTGGCAGTTCATTCCATATACACACCACCATCTGTGTGATAAAGTTGCCCCGCAGGTCCCTCTTAAATCTTTCTCCCCTTACCTTAAACCTATGCCCTCTGGTTTTGGATTATTTTACCCTGAGGAAAAGACCTTGCCTATTCACCTTATCTATGCCTCTCATAATTTTATAAACCTCCATAAGGTCACCCCTCAACCTCCTACACTCCAGTGAAAAACATCCCAGCCTATGCAGACTCTATTTATAACTCAAACCCTCCAACCTCAGTGGCATTCTTGTAAATCTGTTCTGCACTTTTTCCAGTTTAATAACATAATTCCTAGAGCAGGGAGACCAGAACTGTACACAGTACTCCAAAGATGGCTTCATCAATATCCTGTACAACTGCAACCTGACATCCCAACACCTATACTCAGTGCTCTGACCAATGAAGGCAAGTGTGTTAACTGCCTTCTTCCACACCCTGTCTACCTGTGACGCCACTTTAAAGAACTATGTACCTGAACCACTGGGTCTCTCTGTTCAACAACACTCCCCAGGGCCCTACCATTAACTGTGTAAGCCCTTTTTGTGATTCTTCCTTCCTGACTTCACGAAGTTTACTGGTTGCTCCCTCCATTGTCTTCTTAGTCTTTCTTCACTGTTGCTTGAAAAGGCTCACTCCAAAACTCAGTAAAGATGACAGACAGCTGTCAGAAACTCCTGGCACCATAACATTCTCTGTTTCATATGAAATTATGACATAGTAATAGAGGAAATGGTAGTGTAACCTTGAAGAAAGCAGCAGGAGGGTTTGGAAGGCATGATCTAGTAATGGGGGCTATGAAAGATGAGACAGCAGGAATGGCATCAGAAGTAAAGAAGGTGGAACTGAGGTAAGGAGTTTGGACTGACATAGGATGTTGCTACAGAACAGATGTGGGACATTAGAATGAAGCTATCTTCTTGGCTTGGATTTGGGTAGACCCGAGAATGATCTCACCATGAAGTTATCTACAATTTTACTGTAAATTGCTTTGATTGTTTTGGAATTTATTAAATAGCCCAAGTAAATACTAGCTTTACTTTCCAAAACATCTTAAAGTCAATATTATTTGAGTGTCCATGCCAATATTATTACTGCTTTCTAGAAATCTAATTTTCCACTAACAATCATAATAATGTATCAAATGAATTTTGTCCATCAGTTTTTATTGTTTTTATTTGGTATTATAAATAACAATTTTAAAACACTGTGGTCATAAATGATATTTTAAGGTTACTGGTACAGAATCATTTTTAAATGGATAAGGTGACTTAATGTTTATGATACTGATTAGAATGTGTGCTTCAGTAAAAAGGCTGCTTGCTTTGGATCTGAAATAAATCATTTGAAATAAATAAAGATGCTTTGAACAAGTTTGAGTATAACACGTCACATCTATTATGTTAATGTTATACTGTATAATTAGGTTCATCAGCTGCAATATATGTTTCCCCTCTCACCTTAAACTTATGCTCTCTAGTTTTTAATTCCCATCCCTGGGAAAAAGACTATATGCATTCATCCTATCAATACCCCTCATGATTTTATACACCTCAATCAGGTCACCCCTCATTCTCCTACATTCCAAGGAATAGAGTCCTATCCTGGCCAAACCCTTTCTATAACTAAGGCCTACTAGTCCTGGCAACATCCTCGTAAATCTTCTTTACACACTTTCCTGTTTAATTATGCCTTTCCTGCAAAGCATCTGGAATAGGATTTCCTCCTAGTTTTTGTGGTTATTGGAGATTGCCCAGCAGCTGGCATGTATAGGAGACATTGACCCAGCATACTGAGACTTCACTGCATTGATCCCTGTTGACTTGACTTCAAGCCAATACTCTGTCTACATTGGCCCTCTTGCACAGGCTGACACACAACTTGTTCCAGCTTCTCAGGTTGCTGTTGCTGCAGTTGATTCCTGCAATTTCTTTTCTGGAGTATGGTGACCAGAGGAATGGAAAGGATGATTGATGTCATCTTGATGCTTTTGGGAGATTTGTGAAGACACCAGATGGCGATGTTTCTCTTATACTTTTGTGCTGCCAACCTGTCTCCTCATACCCAGAAGAGTCTGTCACCTCACAATGTTTCTCACATGACCTTCTCCCAGTCATCACGTATTCCAGTGGAAACTGCATTCCATACACCTTCAAGGGTCAACTCCCTTTGAGCAACAATGACATGTGCATGTTGGCAGTGTACGTTACCTAGGGTACTGGAAGCATGGTGAGATTGAGCTTGCTCATTGGAATTCAAATCCCAATGTTATTCCTGCCCCCACATCCTACTGTCTCTGTGATCCTCCACCACCCCCTCCTTGACATACCAGCAATCATTGTCACCATTGAGACTCCTGAGCTTTCCCCTGGAGCTCCTCAGAGTTGAGGTCTCAGTGCCTCTGCTGAGCCTTAACCCTCCCTCGGTTGAAGCCTCCTGGCATTCTTTGAACCCCCCACAACAAGACTTTATGGTCCCTGCCCCGACCATCCACATCCCTGACTAGAACTGCAACCACTCCCCTACTCTTGTGCTTATTCCCTCCGCTTTGCCAAACCTCCCAGATTGATCACCAGACATGAATTGGCCTCAGCATCGACGCCATCATGAACAGACGCTTCAGCACACCTAACTGACTGCAGGCTAACATCTTCAAGACACACTGGCCCCAGAGTGAGAGACAGACTCACAGAAACTGCTGAAATACCCATGCAGATTAACACCTACACATATCCTGGAAGTTTTTCATGGTTGCCAGCAATCCTTAGTCAAATGAAGGATACAGTCTTTACTCAGGAGGTGCCACCAGTAGGTAAGGGCAGCCTCCAATACCCGTCCAGGGACTCAGAAACAGCCAATCAAGCAGTCATTTCTGAAGAGTTAAGATGTTGTCCACATAAGGAGTGAGGAATTGAATGTCAGGTAACTCACCAGCAGTGTTGACTCTTTCTGTTGTAAATATTGTCCTCCTGGAATGTGAGAGAGGCAGGTATTAAGGGAGATGAAAGTGATCACACAGCTGTTATTTTTGTTACAATTTGGAGGTGTCCCAAGTGAGTAAGTAGGCAACATAGAGGACATGTAGGGTTAGCACTGTCAGAGGTTAGGGTCATTTAGAAGGGGTGAGGGAAGCTTTTAAAGTGGTAGAGCATGGGCCTTCATGGGAGGTGGATACTGTAGAAAAGATAGATTGTATCTGGGGTATCAGGAAGAAGATGGTGACACATACACTGGCAGAGTGGAGAAGGGCATAAACCTTCTTCCGACAGTGCTAGGCATTCTTCCAGGCAACTGAGACTGCACTGACTCATGTGACAACCTTGGTGCAGGCTGGCATGGTCTGGCATCGTGACGTCTTTTGCTGGTCCTGGAGTGGAGGTGGGGAGAAGAGGATATCCCACCTCTGCACTGACCTATCTGGCCAGACGTCCAGGTCCCTACTCCAAGTGGAGCACCAAATTTCCCTTGTCTGCCATGTCCTGGGCAAATCTCATGAACTCATTGCTGCTCCAGACTGATGGTGCTTGTCCAGGTGCAGATGGCACCAGGAATGCCAGTGAATACCAGGATATTCCAGCTGTGGCACTTTGGTCCAAAAAATGGTACGTGATAAGATGAGCTAGAATCAAATGTTGAGAATGCCGCAGCAGCAGATGCCATGGAGCAAGATGGCAGAGACGACAGGGTAGGTAATGTTCAGGCTCCTGGTCCGTCCATTCCCTTTCGGCTGACCAGCCACATTTTTTTTATTGCTTCTTGTCATTATTATTATTTATTAATTTCACTTTTTATGTCAAATTCATCTTTTCTTCTTTTTGCGGCTGAGGTGCAGCAGTTTTGGTTGGATAGCCCCCTGTCCTTGGCAGTTTTGACAGGTCCCTGTCCTTGGCAGTTTCGACAGGCAGCCGGTTCTTAGCAGTTTCAAGAGGCCTCCGGTTCTCAGCAGTTGGACAGGACCCAGTCCTGAAAAGTTGGAGAAGGCCTCAGTCCTCGGCAATTGGGCAGACCCCAGTCTTTGGCCGTGGCCGGTTCATGAAACCAAGAGATCGTGGAACGATATTTGTCTTAACTTTGTCTCATTTTTTCAATTTATAATTTATGCAATTAAATGGCACTGTTTTTTGTGGTGACTTATATACATTTTACTGGATTTTCACAAATACAAGTAACAATAGATTTCTATCTGTCTATTTATCAGGGTATGTAGTTCATGAGATAAATTTGGTAAGACAATGACAAGAAATCTTGCTCAATGAGAACCCTCCAAAATAACATGACAAAATTTGGACTTAGAAAAGTGGAAGACTCAGCCCATTTGTGTCTATTTGTTAGAGAGAGAAAACAAAAATAAACAAAAACAGATGTGAATGCAAAGAATAAGCAGTCTTACGTGAATGAGGATGCATTTAAAGATTTATACTTTAAATGTATTTCAAGTGTTGTGCAAATTTTAACACCACATTTATTTTATAGTTCCACAGTAACCAATCATCAACTGAAGGGGAATAATGGCTGACAATAACATCCATAACCAATCTGGTAGGCAGTTTTGATGTTTATTACGTCATGTACATATTTTAATCCAATAAAATTCGCATGAAATAAATTGCTGCTGGAACAAGCAAATTTGTAATATATGACAGCACGTTTAAAAAAATCTCACTGTTTAGTTCTTTGTAAACTGTTATTAATGCCATCATTACCAAAGTATGTTCTAATTATCATATTTTGCCTATAAAGCTACATTTATATATTCATTATATGATGATGGATTAATACTAACAGAGGGAATTCAATGTTAAGCAAATTTCCAGTGGCGTTGAAGAAATGGCACAATGCTTTTAATTAAAATGAAGTCATTATAGCAAAAATATTACGTGTAGAATCTTTCAGCCTCATGGTATTTCTAAAACAAAGTACAAATCACAAATTGAATTGGCTGGAGGTTTTATCTTTATGCTTTCTTTTAATTAGCAAATTATCCAAAAGAAAAATTTCTTGAGTACATTTATGCAACATTGTTGGTTATGTTATCCATTATGTTTTCCTACATTTACAGTTTTAATCTTTTTGAAGATTGGCAGGCAAACAGAAAGCAGACAATAGGCTTAAGTAGGTCTTTTTCATATTGGCAAAATATAATGAATGCTGTGGGATTGGTGTGGGATCCTCAATTTATATATACCAATATATGACCTAGAGTTGGTTGGCTTAGGTGGCTGATTTGTGATAAATTATGATCCCAGCTGTGTGGGTTCAATTCCTGCACCAGCAGCATTACTGTTACCATGAAGGCCTCTCCCTCTCAATTTCTCCCTTCACTTGAGGTGTGGAGACCCTCACGTTAAACGACCACCAATCATCATCTCTCTAAAGGGAAAACAATCCTGTGATCTGGTCAAAATGCTATAACTTTACCTTTATGTGGAATAGAGAGGTTACCTTAGGAGAAAAAGTTGGACAGGCAGGATTTGTATACAGTGAAATTAAGAGAAGTAGTGACTTGATTGAAACATGGAGGATTTTAAGGGCTGTTGAGGTGGTAGATGTGAGGAAGTTTCTTCCTGTAGGAAAGTTCAGAATGAGGTGTCACTCATTTGGAACAGTGATGAGGTGAAAAGTTCTTTTAGACAGCCATGAGTCATTGGAACTCTCTTCCTGAAAAGGTGGTGGAAACAGAGCCATTGAATATTTTAAAATCAGAGGTAAATAGCATCTGGTTAAGCAACAAGGTGGAAGTTTATCAAAGGTAGGGTGAGAATATGGATTTGAGGTTTCAATCAGATTATCCATGATCTTATTGAATAGTAGAGCAGGCTCAAGAGGCCAAATGGCCTACTCCTGCTCTTAGTTCGTATGTTTGCATGTTCATATAAACTGGACAAGCCATTCAAGTATTGTGGTTTCAAAAAACAGTTCAGAAGCTGGGAATCCTACCGCAAGTAGCTCAGTTCCTGACTCTGCAAAACCTGTCAACTATCTGACGTGGAGTGTGTGATACTTGATGATCTGAAGCTATCAAACTATGATACTTATGTTAGCTCCTGTAACATAAGGCTGAAACATAGGTCATGTGGTACTGAACAATTCAATGAACCTTTAGTACAGCTCCTTGTATTTATTATGCACATTACGATCATAGGGACTCACGTGTCTGGGCTCGAGCTAAGCAATTCAGATATACTGTAATACATTTCTCTCAGTCGGCCATGCTGCAAGAGGATGGAGCTTAAGATGGAGACTGAGAGCTTTCAACCACGAGGTTGTAGGCCATGATATTTTGAGAATATCATGAGCAGGTCCTTTAAAGCTACATTGCACATCTGCCATCTACTAAGACACAAGTCTAAGTGTGATGGAATACTCTTGCCGAGATGAGTACAAATTCAACAACACTCAAGAAGCTGAACCCTTCCGGTAGTAAGTAGGTGAATTGATTCTCAATCCATCCATCAACTGCAACACTCACTCCCTTCATCACTGATGCTCAATGGCAGCAGTGCATCCCATTTACAAGATGCATTGCGGTAACTCAGCAACGCTTGTTTGATTGTGCTTTCCAAACCTGCGATGTCTATGACCTCAAAGGACAAGGGCAGCAGACACATAAGCACACCAAGATCTGAAAATTCCCCTCCAAGCCACTCACCTTTTGCCTTGGAAATATATCACTATTCCTTCAGAGTTGCTGGGTCAAAAATCCCAGAACTCCCTACCCACATTGTGGGCTTACCTACAGCACATGGACTGCAACAGCTCAAAAAGGTGTCTCACTACCACCTCTCAAGGCCAATGGACAATAAATGCCAGTGCCACTTACGTCTTAGGAACAAATTTTTTTTAAAAATCAATCAGTTTATATGGACAGAAGCATCCATTTCTCAACTATTAAATTATTCCCATAATTTGGTTGTCAATGGCTCAAATGCCAATTCAGGACAATCCAATGAAATTGAGAAGCACTGGAAATTATGATTGTCAAAAAAAAGTAGTTCTAAATTTTCCATCAATTGTCAAACATTATGGAGATTTCTTCTATTTTACCATTTGCAGCAAATTGTAAATGTGTTCACAAGAATCTTGTACATGATTCTGCTGCAAATAATGGTCAGAGCAAATTATTCTCCTTCATTAAGTTGTGAACCTCAACTGGCACGAAATTAGTAGGAATGGATGACTGCTAATAAAGAACAAAGAACAAAGAAAATTACAGCACAGGGACAGGCCCTTCGGCCCTCCAAGCCTGCGCCGATCCAGATCCTCTATCTAAACCTGTCGACTATTTTCCAAGGATCTGTATCCCTCTGCTCCCTGCCCCTTCATGTATCTGTCTAGATACATCTTAAATGACGCTATCGTGCCTGCCTCTACCACCTCTGCTGGCAACACGTTCCAGGCACCCACCACCCTCTGCGTAAAGAACTTTCCACGCATATCTCCCTTAAACTTTTCCCCTCTCACCTTGAAATCGTGACCCCCAGTAATTGAGTCCCCGACTCTGGGAAAAAGCTTTTGCTATCCACCCTGTCTATACCTGTCATGATTTTGTAGACCTCAATCAGGTCCCCCCTCAACCTCCGTCTTTGTAATGTAAATAATTCTAATCTACTCAACCTCTCTTCATAGCTAGCGACCTTCATACCAGGCAATATCCTGGTGAACCTCCTCTGCACCCTCTCCAAAGCATCCACATCCTTTTGGTAATGTGGCGACCAGAACTGTATGCAGTATTCCAAATGTGGTCGAACCAAAGTCCTATACAACTGTAACATGACCTGCCAACTCTTGTACTCAATACCCCGTCCGATGAATGAAAGCATGCTGTATGCCTTCTTGACCACTCTATCGACCTGCGTTGCCACCTTCAGGGTACAATGGACATGAACACCCAGATCTCTCTGTACGTCAGTTTTCCCCAGGGCTTTTCCATTTACCACATAGTTCGCTCTTGAATTGGATCTTCCAAAATGCATCACCTCGCATTTGCCTGGATTGAACTCCATCTGCCATTTCTCCACCCAACTCTCCAATCTATCTATATTCTGCTGCATTCTCCTACAGTCCCCTTCACTATCTGCTACTCCACCAATCTTATTGTCATCTGCACACTTGCTAATCAGACATCTATACCTTCCTCCAGATCATTTATGTATATCACAAACAACAGTGGTCCCAACACGGATCCCTGTGGAACGCGACTGGTCACAGTTCTCCATTTTGAGAAACTCCCTTCCACTACAACTCTCTGCCTCCTGTTGTCCAGCCAGTTCTCTATCCATCTAGCTAGTACACCCTGGACCCCATGCGACTTCACTTTCTCCATCAGCCTACCATGGGGAACCTTATCAAACCTTATCAAAAATAATAAGGACATAGGCTGAATTTACTTATGCAGTTTAGTGGACTACCACTATAGTTTTGTCAAAAGTCCACATGAACAGTTGCAAACTCCACTGGAGTCCATCTGACAGTCATGACGGATTGTGATCCTGATGCAAACAGCAATTCAGGGCCATCGCATGTGAGACATTGAACCATATAAACCATATAAACCATGAAAATTACCTGGTTGATTCATGAGATATTAGGAACTGCAGGTGCTGGAGAATCTGAGACAACAAGGTGCAGAGCTGGATGAACACAGCAGGCCAAGCAGCATCATAGGAGCAGGAAGGGTCTAGGCCTGAAACATCAGCCTTCCTGCTCCTATGATGCTGCTTGGCCTGCTGTGTTCATCCAGCTCTGCACGTGGTTGATTCATGATCTGTGCTGACTTAGCTGATAGCAAACGAAAGGTTGATAATGAGGTGATTAACTTTCTTTTTAGGGAAAGAAAACATTTGTTCTTCCTAGAAGGAAGGTAACATTAAAACTGGGGAATGAGACATACTGGTCCCATATTGTATACTTCCAATGTAGGACGAGAATGACCAGCATGTTCATTTCCAAGTATTGTTGTTGTTTATTTAAACTGATTTTTTCCTCTGCACTATTCTTTGGATTCTGCTCAAGTCTGTGGGAGAATAAGATTGTAGCCTCCATGGTTAACTAACCTCCCTGTGCGTGATCTTCTTAAATATTTCTTGGACGAGTTTCCAGATGGCATTTACTGTACAGGTGGATACCAGTACCTTGAATAAAGGTGAAACTAGAGGATTTTTTTTAATACAAACTTAATGTTCCACAGCTATTTATAAAATATCCATTTATGGGATTGGACTTAAATGTTTTATCATTTATTTTCTGAGTTTTTAGTGGTTAGTTGGTCTCTAAATTTTACAGGATTTTACAAGGCACTTCAGTACTAATCCCCCCAAACTATAAAGTTAGGGGGAATCCAATCACAATCTTAATGGCTGCCCTGCAGCAATTTAACGCTGGCGCTGGGAACAGTGATAATTTTTTAAAATCAAGACTACTTTCCCTTTCTCAAAACGATGACCTGGCTCAGAAAGAGCTATCAATCAATTGCTTGGCTGTGAATTCTGCAGTCCCATTGCTTGAACTACAAGTAGTCCAACTATATTGAGAAGCCCAGGTTAATCTGGGAACAGTGGTCTTGACACTGTGAGTGAGAGAGAGGTGAGGTACTGAGTTCAAGAATCCAGGGACAGTGGGTGGTGGTTACTTTCCCACAACAGGTACCTCCAAGAGACCCAAGATGAGGCAAAAGTAATTTCCCCACCTTGTTCAACACCATGTCACACAACTAAACCTTCTGGGCTTCCTATAGCATTGGCTTCCACCCATATCAGTTGGGTGAGCCCTTTAAGTGGGCCGTGATTGGCCAAGCACAGCCAAGCTTCCCAATGCCACCCCACCTCTTATACAATTTCAGACATGTTGGTTGGGTGGGCAGGTTGCAGGAAGCCATCTGCTGGATTTTACGTGCCCTGCCAGCTTTAAACCTGCCAGCAAGGGAGCATAAAAAGCATAAAGCCAAGTCGTAAGGGAATCAGGGAATATGAGAATAGGGCAGGGAAGTGGAGTCATGATAGAAGATCATAACTGATCTTATTAAATAGCAAAGCAGGCTTAAAGGGCTATTACTCATCTTCTTCCCTTAAGTCCTATGTTCATATATTCTGATATCATTGATACATTATTGGCTCAAAGTACAAAAGTAGTTTCCAAATTGATAAATTTTAAAATATTTTGAAGTTTACTCAGAAATTTCTACGATGGATATTTTCTGTTAAATAATAGGTAGCGTGTTCAATCTTTGACGATATGCTGACTGTGCATGCATTTAGTTGTGTCAGTGCCTAGATTGTTCCAGAAGGAAGGTATTGTGTCTGACCGCAAGCCTATAAAAATGATTGTGAGAGAGTGTGTATTGTTCACTGGTCATTTGGTGAGGCTTATACATTAGTCAGTAGGATTTAGAACAGAGCTACAGAATTTCATGAGTACAAGAATTTTTCAGTATCCAAAATGAAACTCTCATCCCTATGATTACTAAATAATCCAGCCATGTCTCATCAATTTAAAAACATTGCAGATTCAGAACAAAAAATCTATATTTAGCAATTTGAAGAGCTTGCATATAATAACTTGGGTCTTCTCAACCGTGCCTTTATTCAATGATTTTATCCACTTTGTTTATGCTGACACTCAGTAATATAATTGATATTTAACAGTTTGTGAACCAAGCAGATCTATTAATGCTTTTATAGCTCCCCGTTTCCTTTAGTTACAAGGGTTGAAGATAAAACGAGAAAGTGCTAGAATACGACTCTTAAGAACTGAAGGAGTGTTGACATTCTGGATGTTGACGAAATGCCAGATTATTACAGGAGGCCAATTCTTTTTCACCACTCATACTAGCTCATGTCATAAATGTAGCACAAAAATTGGGAGGGCTTTCAATGAGACAGTAGTTTGTTCAGACAATTAACGTAAAGAAAAGGCGGTACTAAATGGGTGGAGAGATGAAATATATTGGGAGGAAATGAATGATATAAAAACAGGCAGGAATCAGGTCACAACATGGTGGCTTTTAGAAAATATTGATATACACTCCAATTACTACCTCAACAAAATCTTTCACTGAAATGGATCCAAGCTAAGGATCATCAGGCGCCATTTCTGCCACCTCCAGCAAGATGCCACCACCAGACACATATTTCCCTCCCCTCCTTTGTCCGCCTTCCTCAGGGACCGTTCCCTCCGGGACACCCTGGTCCACACTTCCTTCACCCCCAACACCTCCCCACAGCCCTATGGCACCTTCCCCTGTAACTGGTGAAGGTGCAACACCTGCCCATTTACCTCCTCCTTCCCCAGTATCCAAGGGCCCAAACATACCTTCCAGGTGAAGCAACACTTCACCTGCACTTCTTCCCCTCCTCCCACCCCAAGCCGCACCTCCATCTCCTACCGACCAACCTCATCCCGCCCCCTTGACCTGTCCGTCCTCCCTGGACTGACCTATCCCCTTCCTAACTCCCTACCTACACTCACCTTTCCTGGCCCCATCCCCGCCTCTTCGACCTGTTTGTTTCCTCTCCACCTATCCTCTCCTCTATCCCTCTTCTATCCGCCTCCCACTCTCTCCCTATTTATTTCAAAACCCCCTTCCCCTCCCCCTTTTCTGATGAAGGGTCTCGGCCCGAAACGTCAGCCTCTCTGCTCCTATGATGCTGCTTGGCCTGCTGTGTTCATCCAGCCCTGCACCTTGTTGTCTCGGATTCTCCAGCATCTGCAGTTCCTACTATCCCAGAATCTAGTCTACTTCATTCGCTGCTCACAATGTGGTCTCCTCTACATTGAGGAAATGAAGCTTAGACTTGGCGACCACTTCACAGAACATCAACGCTCTGCTTCCAAAAAAGACCCTGAACTACCTGTCGCCTGCCACTTCAATGCACCACCTTGCTCTGGATTCACTACTGAGTTCAATAATTTTAGGGCCTAAACTCTCCCATGTCCCAGCCCCCTACCCCACACACCAGGCCTTGTTACCACATAGCCTGCCATTACACACCCCCTGTTGTTAGTCACTAACAGTCCCCATTAACAACTACTCACCCTCCCAGCCTGATCGTTAGCAACTCCTTTGTCTGTCCAACTGTCTTTCTCTCTCTTTGGGCTCTATCCTATCGTTTACTCCCTACCCCACCCACCTCCCTATTTTCTGCATATAAACTGACATTTTCCCAGCCACCATCAGTTTTGAGGAAGGGTCACCGGACCCGAAACGTTAACTCTGTTTTCTCCTTCACAGATGCTGCCAGACCTGCTGAGCTTTTCCGGCAACTTTGTTTTTGTTCCTGATTTACAGCATCCACAGTTCTTTCGGTTTTTATTTGGATCTAAGCTAAGTCAGCATCTGTTTAGAATAATTAGTAAGTCATTGCCATCTATGCTTACCATTAACTTCCATTTGTATTCCTATTCTATAGGAAATGAATTGCTCTATATCCATTTGAAGCCCTTTGGGGCTTTATCCAAGTAATCAATTTAAAAGTGGCAGGGATAGGTGAGAACCAGTAAGTGCTGGGAATAGCACCTGTGGTAGAACATCCAATTTTATGAGCCTCTCCAACTGCCAACCTTCCCCAAATACTCTTGTGGTCCTGGCTTATGTATTGCAGAATGGGGTGGGAAATATATAGGGTGCAGCTGTGCTACTTTTCTCTTTTCTGCTTCCATTTCTAGTATTTTCCATTACTAGAAATGATCTGACAAAGGCATTGAATACATGAGCCTAAATATGGGCTGGTATTCAAAGGCTTGTCTCTAAAAATAACATGCTGTCTTATGTGTCGTCTGTTAATTCCCTGCAAAACTGGGATCATTGAACCCTATGCTCTCTTAGCATCCAACACTAGAATGGCACATAGTGAGGATAGGCTGTTTTCTACAGGGTGAGCACAGAGTTACTCCTCAGTGCACAAAATTAACTTGTAAAAACTAAGTGTTCGCTGCTTTTTCCTTGCCAGCAGGCAATATCTTTAAATGCAGTGATACACAACTGACACCCCTTCAAAGTTATTCTCTCCTTTTCCATAATATACTTTCTAATGCAGACCATGAATTAAATTACCATGACATTAGCAAATTGACTGGAATCCAGCTGGACTTTTGGGTGGGCGGATTAAGATTGAACTGAGATTTTGCCAAGGCAGAAAGTCCTAGCCTAAGTGACAGCAGGCATGCCAGCTGTGTCTAAGCTGGTATTCAGGGAAATTTATGGTTAACTTAATTTAGTTTTGATACATTGCTATTAATTAAGAAACCTGAAGTAAAATAACCGATGCAGATGTTAGTAGTATTAGTGTGCTTTGTTGAGGTTTTAAATTCATCTTTTTGTCACAGAGCAATTTAAAACTACCTTAAACTTAAAAGAAGGAAATTGTAACAGTAAACAACGGGAAACCTCACTGATCCCTGGCCTTGGCTACATGACAACTGGAGAGGAAAGATTCCGAGGACGGCGTAATGCTGTTTTGGATTCTGATTCAGATTACGTGAAGTTGGCAAAACGAGGAGGTGTTCCAGGTAAGTCCAAGGGCAGCTAAAAAAAAATACAGGTGGGTGAAACTCAAATCTCACATACAACTGTATGAATTAGGAGCAGGGGTCGGCCACTTGACCCCTCAAGCCTGCTTTGCCATCCAATAAGATCACAGCTGATTTGATTACTTAATTTTTCCATCTACTCCAGTTACATTTCACCTCTTTGCTTTTCAATAATCATCTACCTCTGCCTTAAAGGTACACGGACTTTGTTTTCACTGCCTTTCAAAGAACTCCAAAGGTCCCTCACATATATTAAATGCACAGCCCGTGATTTTTTTAAACAGTGAACTCTAGAAGTAATTTCTCCCAAAAGATGAAACTCTATTTCCATATCCACCTTTTCAAGACCCCTCAGGATCTTATGTTTCAATCAAGGGGATTCTATCTATCTAAGTTACCTCTTGCCCTTCCAAGCTCCAGTGGATATAAGCCTAGCCTTTCTAACCTTTCTTCTTAGGACAACCCACCCATTCCAGAAATTCATTGAGTAAGCTTTCTCTGAGTTGCTTCCAATGCATTGACATCCATCCTGAAATAAGACTAATACTTCAGTGTTGGCCAACTGTATTTCTATGGCATTAGTTGATGGTTGCTTAAATATTTTGAAGGGAGATAGCAAAGTTTAGGACATATGTAGCATGAACAGCTTCATTCTTGCAATGTATACACTCTTGAAATGCATTGCTTTAAATAAAATGCCCTTGAACTGTCATAGTCCTTATAGGAGGAAATGCCAGGTGCCAGATTGTTTTTGAGTAAAATAAGGCATTTCAGTGTCTGCAGAGGTTGCTTGATGCAGAATCAAGGTGCCCTAATATTCGGATGCTGAAAGAGAAAGAGAATAATCAGTAAGGCGCAAAGTGAAGGCCACTGAAGTCATCAGATCTAAAATAACTAGTTCCCCGGAAGGTTCCCAAATGTATTGTTTGAAGAAAATGTCCTTAATTTAGGCTATGAACTCATCTTTCAGGCTACTTTTGTCAATTTTTTTGGTCCAATCTATGTGAAGGTTCAAAGCTGCCACAATATTGCAGTGCCTTTCTTCCAATTTCAAATTATTTCTTGATTTATACTCTACCCTACTGTGTAACTGCTCAGAGAACATATAAACCCCTTCCACCAGAGACCTTTTGTTACTTTATGTCTCTGCCCAAACTGATTTTATATTTTCACCCTCTAAACCATAATTACTTTCACCAACTGCACCGATTTTGTCCTTTACTAGCAGAAATACTGCAAGCACCTTTCCTTTCTTTCTGTTCTTCCAGAATATAAAATACTTTCTTACTTCCACCAACTTGGATGGCTTCCTGCTCCAGAGTGCTTTTGACAGTTTGTTCATCCTCCCTGCAGCCTCTTCTGTCATCTACACAAGTTATAAGGTTCTTGACCCTGTTGGATAGTTGCAAGGACTGAGGGTCCACCATTGCTGCCTTTGGATCCCCATACATACATCATATCCACATCTCCTATCCTTAACTGATAAAGGGTATGTCTGCTTCCTGGAACAAAGTGGAACAAAGTAACTTTACCTTCCCTGATGCATCATAGTGTAAAAGAAGCAGACTCTAACTATCAGAGTCAAAGTTTCTCAAGCTGCAGGAATGTAATGTAGTTGCCATGAACCACATTACTGCTGGCTATATATATTAATGGTTCTGAATTGGTTAATATTGAACTCAATGAGGAATTGAGAAGTCCGGCTTTAGGCTCTGCTGGATGTGTCAAGATATGATATATCTGGCTCCTCATATTCTTAGTATTATGTCTAACTAACTAATATAAACTGTACGCATAACTATCATGTAATAAACTGCATTTTGTTAAGACAAGTGCCTTTTCTTGTTAAGACCTACTAGCAGTACATCCTCTGCCACTGTTAACTGAAAAGCCCTTGATAGAAAGTATAGGACAGGAATTGCGGGGGGAGGGGGGCACTTGCAGCACAATGGTAGTGTCACTATCTTTGAGCCAGGAGCCCTGAATCAAGTCCCACCTGTCCAGAAATATATAGTAACATCTCTGAACAGGTTGATTCAAAAATATCTAGAAAGTAGGATTATGGAAGGCTCCGGGGAACCAGGGACAGCATATTGGAGTTCTTCTGTGGGCTCTTGTGGTGCAGTGTTAATGTACCTACCTCTGGGCCAAAAAGGCCCAGGATCAAGTTTCATCTGCCCCAGAGATGTGTAATAACATGTCTGAACAGCTTGATTAAAAATATCTAGAAAGGAAAATTGATGCAGTATTCTACCCCAACCTTTAGTTGGTTTCACAAACCATGTCCACCAGCATTTACATGCTCTAACTACAACATATCACCTCACTTATTGCTTAATTTAACTAATTAGCTGACCAATATAAGTTTATTTTAATGGGAATTGGACCAATGACCTAATCAGACTATGGTCAGCTTTATCTTTTTTTCTTATCTGTTTACACCCAGAAGTGCTATCACACACAACTGAGTGATTTTCCCACCATCAAATCACCGTGATTTTTATTTGTCTTTCTGCTCAGCACTATTGGTAATCACCCACGTAGCCAATTTACAAGCAAAGCCCATTATAGGCAATATGAACACTAATTCAAGGTTAAAAACATAATTTACACCTCTTCAGTTGTTACACCAAGTTGTTTAACAATTAAACTTTAAATTTAATACTTATATCTTCCCAGTACTGATATGAAATGCTGCTTGCATTTAGAAGAATAAAATCAAATAACTATCTGCTAACTAAAGCCTTGAACACTCACATCTCCTGGAGACTGAAAAAATGGAGAGTGAAAGCAGGACCTGCTTCACCTTTGCACCAAAACTCCAACCTGTACCAAATTCTGAAGTTAATACACATACCTCATTGACTCAAGCCTCATCACATTTTATGTAAGAGCAAAATCTGCCTACTTTTATCAAGCACTGATGACTCATAATGAAATTCCAACTGCGAGGGAAGCTTCCTGATAGAGTCAGTAACACTTTGAATTGTTTAATGTATAACTGCTACTGGCTGGTAGTTTCTGCAAATGAGCCTCCTTAAGTAGTTTATAGTTTTCCAGGAGAGTCTAGGGCTTCCGTGGCACAGTGGTAATGTCCCTACCTCTGAGCCAGGAGGCCCAGATTAAAGTCTCATCTGCTCCAGAACTATGCAATAGCTTCTTTGAACAAATTAATGACAAAACATCTCTAAAGCAGATGTCTTGCGGCATAGTGGTAGTCCAACTTCTGAGCCAGGACACCTAGGTTCAAGTCCTACTTGTTCGAGAGGTGTGTCATAACATGCCTAGACAGACTGATTTTTTAAAATATATTTAAGGCAGAGGCTGGAGGACTCAAGTGGCACAGTGATAGTATTCTGCCTCTGTACCAGCAGACTGAGGTCCAAGTCCCACCTACTTCAGAGATGTATCATAAAGCATTTTAATAGGTTGGTTTAAAAAAATCAAACATCCTTGACCATATCTGTGAGAGACACAAATTTTCTAAGGCAGAATGTGACATCTAATCAAAATTATAATTGGGAAAACGCCACTAGAGAAATTTCCATCTGCATCAAATTCAAAAGTTAGTCCGTGCCTCATTGCATTAAAGCCTCGTCACATTTTGTGGAATAACAAATCTATTCACTTTTATAGTGGGCTGATGATATCCTTAAAAACTTGCATTATTTTTATGTTCATTTTCACAGGATGTAGGAGTCACTAGCAAGGCCAGTATTTGTGCCCTTCCCTAATTGGCCCTGAGAAGGTAAGCTGCCTTCTCAAAACAGTACGCTGTTGGTACATCCATAGTGCTGTCAGGGAGATAGTTCTGGGATTTTCACCCAGTGCTACATTCCAAAGTCAGAATGGTGTGTGGCTTGGAGGGGACCGTGCAGATAGTGTTGTGCTCGTACATCCATTGCCCTTGTCCTTTTAGGTGATATAGGTTGCGTGTTTCAAAGGTGCTGATGAAGGAGTCTCAATAGGTTCCGGCAGTGCAACTAGTAGATAATACATAGCTCTGCCACTATGCGTCAGTAGTGGAATAAATGAATGTTTAATATTCCAAGTCGGCATCTGATGATTAATCTTAATTATAGCTTCAGAAAAAAAATACCAGAACCTGCACCAAATTCCCAAGTTGGCACTCATACATTGTAGCAGTCCAGCCTCATCAACCCTTGCACTTCCACACATGGCCTTTGAAAAACTGCAGCGGAATTAAATTTTCTATCTGCTCCAAAGTCAGTAAATCTGTCAGGAGCAGCACTACCAGTCAAAGAAAAAGCTGCTATGAAATGAGGTGACGAGGAAGAATTGTGAATAAATTAACTGCAAATTCACATTGCTAGTGGTATTATTGATCTACTATAACCAAGCACTGGGCAAAGAATTTAGCCCACTTTTTGTAACATTTTATTATTGATCATTTAGCAACAGCAACGCAGGGAAATGTCTAGAGATGGGTTAAAAACATTTTTATTTGTTTTGCTAAGATCTACTAACTTTCGGTGGATTGTCCCCAAAATCAACATGTATTCCCCTCAAGAGACCTGAATGGTTGACACCTGAATCTTCACTGCAAGAAAACAATCAGTAAGTAAACTTCAAATTCTGTGTGTGCCTGGCAGCAGAAACAATTGACCGAGTCATCTGAGAGTTGTCATTCCCCATTGGAATGTCATTCTGATACTACTTCTTTACTGTATGACATTTCTGGCTGGAACTTCTGAACCTATTCAGAAGTGTGGAGTGGACTTTCATGAGAGTCATTCTTCCTAGAACAGGAGAATCAAGGATGGGGAAAGAGAAACCGCTAGCCCTAGTTGCTGTATTCTGGTAATTCTTCATTTACTAACACATTGAAAGGTTTTGGGACATTTATAAAAAAGTTTTTCAGTTTGTTAGTGAATGAGTGTGAGTGAGGCAAGTGGATAAGTGGGTTAGAATGGCAGGGGGATCATATGGCAGTGTTGGTAGGATGGTAGGTTGGTAGGTGGATAGGATGGCAAGTGGTACTGTGAGCAAGCTGACAGGATGGTTAGGTTGCCTGCCAGGCAGGGTGATAAGTGTGTAGGGTGCAGGCTGGGTCAGGTTGCAGTGTGACAGAGGCATAGTGGTAGGTTAGTGATGTCACGTCTTGGAGGAATATGACCTGGGGGGACCAGGGGAGTCAAGGAGGAGTTGGAGGTTAGGGGTGGGGTCAGTTGTAAGGCCTACCCAATAGTTCATAGTGACTCACTGAACAAAAACTAAAAGCACTGCAGATGTTGGAAATCAGTAGTGACTCTCCACTAGTGGTTGGGTTCTTTATTCTCTCCTAATAATGCAATACTCTTAAGAACTGTAACTGTATTTGGATCTGGTTTATGCTTTTGTATTTTCTGTGGGTTGTCACAGTCTGCATTCCAAACCAAACTGACATTTGTTGCAAGATTGTTCAGAGCTGCTGCAGCAGACAGTATTAGAGATGTAAACAGAGCTTTTAGTAATCGAAAAATAATTTATAGCCTAAAGGTTCTCATTCAGTCCTTATATGCACAGATATACACGTGGCAGGCAGTTTAGTTCAGGTCCATTTTTGTCAAAGGTGCTGTGAGTAATTGATGTGTCATCTGTGTTCCTTCACTTAAAGTTATCATTGGAAGTTGTATTTCATTGATTTGTACTCCACCTCCTAAATTCTAATAAGGAACAACTTATGGCCTAGAGTTTTTGACTTCGCATATGAGGTTGTAGCTGCAAGGAGAAGGAATGGCCTAGATATCTGACAAAATTGATTTTGTTAGTTTCCAGTAGCAAAGATAAACTTCAGGCAATTTTAATACCCTCTAGCTATTGGAAATAAGGGAGATTAAATTGGATGAGTGACTCACTCTCTGGTGTCTGACATAATCCCGTTGTTTTCTGTTGAGAAACTCACCAGTGAAGATAAAAGCTGACAAATCCACAAAATAAGTGCCTTTTCCAACACCCATTCTAGGCCAGGAAGAGCAATTGACAAGAAATCTGACAGGATCCTGCTTCGAAAAAACAATACTGCAGATGCTGGAGATCTGAAATAAAAATAGAAATTGCTGGAGAAGCTTAGCAAGTCTGACAACATCTGTGGAGAGAAACAGAGTTACCAATTCAAGTCCAAAATTCCTCTTCTTTGGAACTCTTGTCCTGCTTTATGTGGACTGATGAGGGTCTGAGGACATTGTGACCCTCCTGCTACAATTTTAACTGGTGTCTGAATGGGAAAGCTGATGGTAAGAGGAATATGTTGAGGCTAGTGAGTGACAGGAAGTCATAACTGTACTCCTGTGTTCTAGATTCCCTGGTCAACATCCCTGATATTGTCTCATTGTTATCATAACTTCTTCTGCACCTACTAATAAGGAATCAATGTTTACTTTATCTGCTCTCTTTTGTATATATTTCTTAAAGCTCTTCACAATCTGCTTTTATATTCCTGACTAGTTTATCTTCATTCTAATGTTGTTCCATTTTATCATCTTTGTAGTCACTCTTTCCTGATTTCAAACACTGTCCCAGTAATCTGTGTTTTTTTGTGATGGACAAATTTCTCCCTGCAGGAGATGATACGAATACAGCCTAAGAACTTTGGTGAGGGGTCAGATGAGATCAAGTTCTTCCATAAGTGTGACACATGAAGTTGTTCCTTGCCGATGGTGTGGGATGATCTTGTTTCCAAGAATGGCATCTACTTTGGAACTTCCGAAGGCACATGTCATTGTGGTGAACTCCTGACCGCAGCCTGCATTGTCATTTATATTGATTGTCAGCTAGAATTTCCCACTTATCATGGTTGATGTGAAGGTGCTCATATAACTTTTAATAACATCCCTGAATCCGAGTTTTGGTCTTCTTGTGGTTTCTTGACACAAATCTCCCAATGTAGCATACCCTTGGGATATATAGACATCTTCAATTCTGTGCACATGCCCAAGCCAGCAAAACCTTCTTTGCTTAATTAGTGTTAGTATTCTTGGCATCTTTACTATCCATTTGCGATTTTGCCTTTCCATGTGATGTTCAGGATACATCTCAGGCACCAGAGATGGAAATTATTTAGCCTTCTCTTTAGGGATTTAAGTTACCATGCAGCAATGTGGTGAGGATGCAGGCCTTATAGATAAGTGACAAAAAGGTCTAGGCCCGAAACGTCAGCCTTTCTGCTCCTATGATGCCGCTTGGCCTGCTGTGTTCATCCAGCTCTACACCTTGTTGTCTCGGATTCTCCAGCATCTGCAGTTCCTGCTATCCCTTATAGATAAGTACCTGGTCCTGCCCGTCAGCTTTTTGCTTCTCTGTGACCATTTTCTTAGCCAGCTAAAGTTGGTCACTACCTTTGAAATGGTTGTATTGATCTCTTTGTCAAGAGACAGGCTGTCTGTCACCCTATACTAGTGTAGTCTCTGAATCATCAAGCTTGCTACACATGTATTCACGTGGAATCCCAATTAACAATATGTCCTGCATGCGATTAATCACAATGGATATGCAATTAACAGCAGGTCAAATGTACCCAGCCCAATTAAACAATTCATTCCTTTCCTAACGCTGGTGTCAGTACCCTGTGAAGCCAAATCACTTTTTCCTCACAATACTCTTTGAGCTACACATTTAATTCTTTCCTATTTGCTTGACCTGATATTATTTTGCACATGGTTCAGATAATATTCTAGAAATTATCCTTGAGCTTTTATTTCTGAATTCCAAACAAAATTCCTCCAACTATGTCTGTCGACCTCATTCTATGTTGTTAATTTCAAACAAAGACCACCAGAACTGGATCCTCTATCTCTCAATCAAAGTTCTTCCCTCCCATTGAAGAAAGGGCCTGAACACATGCACCTGGCAGACAGGCAACCTTCAGAACCCCTGGTCTTAGCTGCAGAGAATAGGACCTATTTCCCGGACTATTCTGTCCCCTAACACCAGCACTTGCATTATACTCCTCCCACTTGAGCTTGGGCTCCTGCATAATAGTACTGTGGTCAGTTTGCCCTTCCACCCTGCAGTCCTTGTTCTCATCCATACAGGCAGCAGACCACTTGTATCTAATAAAACAACAGGAACAGGGCTCCTTCATCACCACATCATTCATCCCCATAATTGCCAAACCACTTGCTCAATTGATAATTTCATAAATTGGTTTATCTGGTTTATTAATTAAGTAAATAGTAAGTTTCAGATTGACATACTTTGCTAACTTAAAGAGCAAAAACAAACCTGAAATGTTCACCAACAACTACCTACCTGCTGTCCTGTGACACATGATATCTGCTGCTATAAAAAGGCCATAGGCATATATTCAGAATGTTAGGAATGCATTCTCCATGCAGAAGTCTTTAACTTGATCGTTGTGTGGGGCAAGGGTTGGTATTGAAATCTTTTTCTCCACAACCTGGCATCTCTTAGAGTACTAGTTCAGCTTCAGGAAGGCCATATTATGTGAAACAAGACAGAAACTGCTGGAGAAACTCAGCAGATCAGGCAGAATCTGTGGAGAGAAAGAAGACTTAACATTTTGAGCCTAGTGACCTTGGGGAAGGGAAGAAATAAGTGGGTAAGTGGAGCTGAAGCCCATAGAGAGAAAAAGACAACATTAATCAGACAAAGGGATGGATGATAATAAGTCAGGGGAGGAGGAAAGCTGATAATGGGGAATATAAGTAGGTGAAAATGGGTTCGCTGTGCTGAAAGCAGCCAATATGGTGACAGGGCCTTGTGTATGGGGGTGGTTAAAGGATATGGAATGAGGTATTCAGGTTCTAAAATTATTGAAGTCAGAATTGAGGCCTGAAGGCTGCAGAGGACCACAATCTGAGGGTGAGAAATAGAAGGGAACGAACAGGCGTTCAGAAGCAGAGATTGAGAAACAGAGGGGCACAAACAGAGCAGGGTCACGAGTGAAAATTGAGATGCTGTTCTTCCAGCTTTGCGCTGAGCCTCCCTGCAGCAAACCTGAGACTGAAATAATAGCCATTGTATGTAATTGGATTTGTGATCTTACTATGTTAAATTAATAAATGGAACTATAGGATGATTTCAAAACAGGAGGTCATTTGGTGTAAGAGATAGTAAGAACTGCCGAATCTGGAGTCAGAGATAACACAGTGTGGAGCTGGAGGAACACCACAGGCGCCAGGCAGCATCAGGGGAACAGGAAAGTTGATGTTTTGGGTCGGGACTCTTCTTCAGAAGTCATTTGATCTAACTTGTCTTTGCTGGTTTTGTGAACAGAAACTCACTAGCAACTCACTTTCCCACCCATTTTCCCATAGTCCTGCAACTCGTTTCTCTTCAGGTACCTATCCAGTCCCATTTGAAAGCCTAAGTTTTATTTGTATCCACCCACTGCCAGGCAGTGCATTCCAGATGTGAATCACTTGCTGTGAAAAAAAAAGTTTCCCTCGTGTCACCATTGTTTCTTTTGCCAATAATCTTAAATTTGTCATCACTGGCTCTTAACACTTCTGCCAATAGGAATAGTTTCTTTCCAGCTACTCTGTTCAGACCTGTCATAGTTCTGAATACATCTATCAAATCTCTTCTCAACTTCCTCTTTTCATAGGAAAACAGTCCAACCTTTCCAATCTTTCTACCTAAGAAATGTTCGTCATCACTAAAACATGTAAGTCTTTTCTGCATCCTCTGTAAAGCTTTCCTGTCCTTCCTAAATTGCAATGCCAAGATATGGACACAATATCCCTGTTGAGGCCACACAAATGGTTTGAAAGGTTCATCAAAACTTCCTTTCTTTTGTATTCTATGCCTCACATTCAATAGACAATAACATTGCTGAAGTATAAAGCCATAGAGATCTACAGCACAGAAAAAGGCCCTTCAGCCCATCAAGCCTATGATAGTCGAAAACAGCCACCAAACTGTACTGATCCCATTTTCCGGTACTTGGCCCATAGCCTTGTCCTCCTTGGCATTGCAAGTTTTTTTTATTCATTCACAGGATATGTGTGTCCCTGGCTAGGCAACATTTATTGCCCATCCCTAATTGCTCAGAGGGCAGTTAAGAGTCAACCGCATTGCTTTGGGTCTGAAGTCATATGTAGGCCAGACTAGGTAAGGATGGCAGTTTCCTTCCCTCAAGGACATTAGTGAACCAGATGGGTTTTCACAACAATCAGCAATGGATTCCTGGTAATTGTTAGATTCTTAATTCTAGATTTCTGTTTGTGAATTCAAATTCGTCCATCTGCAATGGCGGGATTCAAATCTGGGTCCCCAGAACATTACCTGGGTCTCTGGATTAACAGTCCAGTGATAATACCATTGGACCATTGCCTCCCCTTCTTAAATGTTATGAGGATTTCATAGTAGTGTGGAGTCACATATAGGCTGGATCAGGTATGGATGGCAGATTTTCTTCACTAAAGAAAATGAATGAACTCATCTAGATCCTTTTTAATGATAAGCCACTAGTTTCATGGCTAGCATTATGAAAATTGTTTTTTGTTTATCCCAGATTTACTTCATTAACTGAATTAAAATTGCTAGCTGCCATGGTGAGATTCAACTTTAAGCTTCAGGATCATTAGTCCAGACTGCTGGATTACTACTATAGTACTATGACAACTATGCTATTGTGCTCAATCATAAAATGAATTGTCATTTCTCTTTGCTCATCCATGACACCAGCATATTTAAGTTATTTATGAAAACACCCTGAAGAGTCAATTTCAAACAACATGATTTAATATTAGTAATCCCTACATTCTATTTCACCTCATAGATTTGCATATTTTTTAACATACTTTTCATAAACTGCCCCTTGGTTCTTCTTTCATTGAACAGTCTATAATCCATTAAGGATCGTCTTTTTATTTCTGTCTAAGAATCACCTCTGGACTTTTTCTGAAGGTAATCTGTGAACATCATTTGACATTTTTGACCATGTGACCTTTCACTAGTTAACATGTGGATGGGGATCAAGTTACTACTTTCATGACTTGTACCATTCATTGTATTGACTGTTCCAGAAGATAGTCTCAATGTAACTGCTGATGTTGGGAGTAATGCACAATGGTAATTACCATATTCTCTTTCTTACAGGACAGTGCAAATGAACCTTCCAGGTGACATGTCTAATGACAAAACTCAAGACATGTCAGAGAGTGAGAAGTATAAACCCTCCCCCACTCCCATCGAAACAACTGATACACATTTATGGGAGAAGGAAGAAATTCATGGTGACTCAGGAAACTGTAAGGTAAAACCTCAAAGCTCAAAGCCCAGATATTCATTACTCTGTTGAAAACCTGAGCCCCTGCCTGATGGATAGCTCCAGCTGATGATCTCAATTGTCAATTTCAGAATGTGTATTTATACAAATGCTTGTAGTTTCAGCTATTTAAACTTTAATTAATCTGGATGATCAACATTTTTATTACCTTGAAGTAAATAGACATTCTTTTCATATATGTGAAAATAATGAATGAATGACTTTATAAAGCCTTTTATTTTAGACATTCTAAGTCCATTGCTTGTATATACTCTATAATGGGTGAATGGGCATGGAGGTGCTCTTGCCTAGCATGGGGGTGTTATTCAACAGGAGTTAGGGAGAAAATTCTTCTCCTTTAGGTCAGAGAATTCTAATTTTACAGCAAGCAATATTCCCTTTTATGTTCAAAATCTACAAGAAAGCAACATATTTTCTTGTATCTATGCAGTTATGGACAAAAGAAACACACAGGCACTTATCTATTATTTGAGCTGTAGAAACTGTTTAAAACACCTATTCAAAAAGGCCATGATATATGCTTATCTACATCATTTGTGAGTTGTCCAAATAGGTAATCTTATGAAACATACAAGGTTCTGACAGGACTTGACGAGGTATTTGTTGAGAAGATATTGATACTACTGGGTAAATCTCGACTAGAAGACGTAGTTACAGAATAAGGGAACACTCATTTAAAGCTGAGATGCGAAGAAATTTCTTCTCCGAGAGGGTAATGAATGTCTGGAATTCTGTACCTCAGAGAATTGTGGAGGCTAGGTCAGTGAAAGTATTTAAAGAAGAGATATATGGATTTCTGATTTATTAGGGAGTTGAGGGCTATGAGGAGAAGTTGAGGCCTGGGGCACGTAAACCATGATCTTGTTGAATGTCTGGGGTGGCTTAAGGGTTTGAGTGGCCTACTGCCGCATCTTAGAGTCAGAGAGTCATACAGCACAGAAGAAACCCTTTGGCCCATCAAAGCTGTGCCAACCTATCCACACTAATCACACTTTCCAGCACTTGGCCCATAAACCTTGAATATTATGACATTTCAAGTGCTCACCCACTATTTCTTATATTCTTATTACAATGTTCCATCCTGGGCATAGTCTACATAGAGCCTTTTAAGTAGTCTGCCTCAGCCTCTAACAACTACTTTGGGTGCTTCAAACCCTCCTATCTGGATTGTCTGGCTGATTGCAGCAGACAACTCTCCCTCCCACAATAATGATGCCATTTCTTTCTCCTGAAGCAGGCTGGCCATGCTGAGAAATTTCATAATTCTTGTTACCTGACTCAAGGATGAAAATCCAGGCTGAAAAACTCCAAAGACTAACTGTTGCAAGATATAGAATATTGCTAGCTTGAATAAAGGAAATGTTGAAGGATGATTTTGATTCTATTTGTTCCATGGAAACAGGGTATTTACCCACTGGTATTCACCACTTTTTTCTATTCGCCTGCTTTTCTGAGCAAATACCAGGAACTCCAACCTAAACTCATCAGGGCTTTTCATCAGAAATACCGATCATACCCGGTCAGTCAGCAGGAATGGGATCCTGTACCAGAAAAGGCCATTATCAAGGCTTATATGTTCACTTTTATTGAGGGGCCAAGAGGAGCAGGAATGTTTCTTCAAGTTCCAGAAGAACGATTTAAACTGCTCCTGGATCAAGCTCTCCTCCTGCAAATTGGTGACTGACGATAACCTGTATCAGCCGAAATTCTGGTCCAGCCACCCAATGGCTGGATTTATAAAATTCATGACTCATTAAAAACTACTGTATGTAGAAGGAAAGGAAATAATGTTTAATTTCATGGATCCTCAGGGCCAAAGGATTTTATGGCCAATGAAATATTTTGAAGAATAATCAAATTGGTAAAGTAGAAAGCCACAACAATTTGCACACAGCAATAAGATAAATGCCTCATTAATTTGCATGAGTGATGTTGATTGGGAAATGAATGGTGACCAGGAAATCAGGAGAAGTCTTTCATGCTATTTTGAATTTTACCATGGAACTATAGATACTGACTCTACATGATCACATTTTCAACACATGAGAAGCACTAGCAGAACAATACTGACTGGTTTGAGGATAATATCACTGTGATGGAGCCTATAATGGAGCTAAGCAGTCCATTCTCATTCATTATAAAAGGGCTCTGAGTGAGAAGACCCTGAATGGCAGAACTGGATATCACATCCAGAGGCTTAGCTATTCTATTAACTTACCTGCCATGGGCAAGGCATCAATTTGTCTTCTTTCCTGGGTAACCATCTCACCATCAGATAATTTATTCCAGAGTCACAAATGTTATTGATTTGGAACAGTACTGAGGCAAAAAATAATTTACATTTTCATATCGTAGTCAGAGAACAAGAAGAATATTGTTCCCCATTAAGCCAATAGGGGTGCTCACTGTCTCATCATATGACTGATACTAATTGAATAAAATGATGAGCCAAGAGATCTCGGTGTCCATGTGCATAGATCACTGAAAGTTGCCACCCTAGTTGATAGGGTTGTTGAGAAGGCGTACGGTGTGTTAGGTTTTATTGGTAGAGGGATTGCGTTTCAGAGCCATGAGGTCATGTTGCAGCTGTACAAATCTCTGGTGCGGCTGCACTTGAAGTATTGCGTACAGTTCTGGTCACCGCATTGTAGGAAGGATGTGGAAGCATTGGAAAGGGTGCAGAGGAGATTTACCAGGATGTTGCCTGGTATGGAGGGAAGGTCTTATGAGGAAAGGCTGAGGGTTTTGAGGCTGTTTTCGTTAGAGAGAAGAAGGTTAAGAGGTGACTTGATAGAGACATACAAGATGATCAGAGGATTAGATAGGGTGGACAGTGGGAGCCTTTTTCCTCGGATGGTGATGGCTAGCACGAGGGGACATAGCTTTAAATTGAGGGGTGATAGATATAGGACAGATGTCAGAGGTAGGTTCTTTACTCAGAGAGTAGTAAGGGCGTGGAATGCCCTGCCTGCAACAGTAGTAGACTCGCCAACTTTAAGAGCATTTAAATGGTCATTGGATAAACATATGGATGATAATGGAATAGTGTAGGTTAGATGGGCTTCAGATTGGTTTCACAGGTCAGCGCAACATCGAGGGCCGAAGGGCCTGTACTGCGCTGTAATGTTCTATGTTCTATGTTCTATGACCTCATTTTTAACCCCTATAGGAATGTGGACCTTGAATTTATTGTATTTCTCCAGGTCACTAGAAGTTTTAATTCTTTTCACTTGAGAGACCTGAAATAAGGGATTGATGCAGTCGGTGCCCTCCAGTAATGTTCCTCAATAAAATGTGTGTTGATATTTGCTCTGACTGAAACTTCCTTGAAGGAGTTGATGAGCTTACAGTCTCATGCAAGCAGTAAAATTACCCTAGGATGCTTCAAAGATTTTTATTATTTTAGCTGTGGGAGTCATGATATAGACCCCATCACAACAACAGCTCAAAAACTGCTTCCAACCAGATAACTTACTGTGGTATTATCTCTTAGAGCCAAAAAGTGCACTTTTCCATAACAATGGAAATTTAGATCCTGCTCTTAAAAAAACATTGTCAAAAGTAGCCCTGATTTTTTAGGGAGCATGCTTGTTGTGGATGGGTAAATGCATGAGCAGTTTTCATACTCAGCTGTGCCATTAAAGAAGACAGAAAGCATTTATCCAGGGAGACACTGAAAATTATTTTAGACCCCGTGATTCATTTCAAACTGTGATCTATCGAATAGCATCTTCAGGAGCTTTGAAACAAGGTAAGCTGCCCATCCTTTCAATTGAAATCAATGTATCAAATAGAAAGATTAAGAACAGAGGAAATGATTAAAATTAAAAGTTCACGTTGAGATTCTCTTTATTTATTATAATCATCGTTTTTACTATTTTCAGAAGTAAGGCGTGTTTCTAGATTATTCACTTTTTACTCTGATATAATGTATTCAGCCAGGGACTCCTGAAGTTGGTAATATGGGGCAACTGGACAAGAATTTTCCACCTCATCCTCAGATGGAGGACATGATCTTAAATGCTGAACCAAAACAATGGACAATGCAGTCTGGCATACCAGCTAACACAATGAGGTAAATGCTACACATTATAACAGTGCTAATAAACAAATAAAATTTTCCACAGTTATCAATTATTATCTAACCAAATATCATCAGACAGCAACACGGAACAGCTGGAATATTTAATTTAGTCTCAGCCTTCTTCTGGAACAGTAGCAATAAAAGGCAGAATTCAAATTAACTGTTGTATTCTAAACAGGAAAGATTACAATGTTTAAACTAGGATGTATAAAATCTTGTAACTATGATGTTGTGTCATGGGCCTGTTTCTGCCATGTTCTACTTAATGGATAGCTTGTAGCCGTGCTACAGAGAGGCAATGCAAAATGCTGAAGAGAATAGACATGTCTGAAGGTGAGCTCCCATGAGCTCCTCATATATACTTCCACACAAGTGTTGGACTGGCATTGTCAGGAGCCTAGAAAATAAACCTTCCTCCTAGAAGTGTAGAATCATCTAACTTTTATGGTACAGAAGAGGCCATTGTATCCATGCCAGCTAATCCCACTCCCCTACCTTTTTTCCAAAGATCTACAAATCTTTTCTCTTCACATAATTAACCAACTCCTTTTTGAAAACCATGATTGAATCTGTCTCCGTCATTCCCTTAGCCTGTGCATTCCAAATCCAAACCACTTGCTGTATGAAAACACTTTTCCTCGTGTCACCTCTGGTGTTTTTACCATTCACTTTAATTTAGTGCCTTCCGGTATTCTAGACTATTCACCAATGTAGCATTTCCCCCTTTCAATCTGCTCAAACTCCTTATAATTTTGAATGCATCTATCAAACTGCTCTCAAATATCTCTTCCCGGAGGAGAACAATTCCTGCTTCTCAAGGCTATCAATTTAATAGAAGTCTCCCATCCCATGGAAACATTATTGCAGATCTTTTCTGCAGCCTGTCCAATACCTTCACATCATTCCTAACATAATACCAAAATTGGACTCATTACACCAACTGAACCCAACCTACTGCTTTGTCAAGGTCTCCATAACTTCCTCACATTTTAAGTCTATGCCTCTATGTACAAAACTCAGTATCCTGTTTGCTTTATTAATTTATTTGTTCAATCTTCAACAAGTTGTTCACTATTACCTCAAGGTCTCTCTGTTCTGGCACTGCTTTAGAATAGTGTGCTATATTTTATATTGTCCCTGCTCATTCTCCCTACTAAAATGTATTACTTCACTCTTTCTTGTGTTAAATTTCATCTGCCACATATTAAAAATTGCTAACAAACTTGTTATGAAGAACTTTCTTATTACATAGAATGGTGACAGTACAGGCTTGTACCTACAGCAGGTGGACTGCAGTGGTTCAAGAAGGCAGCTCACTATCACCTTCTCAAGGGCAACTAGGAATGGGCAATAAATGCTAGCCAGCCAGCGATGCCAAGGTCCCACAGATGAATAAAAAAAGGACATTTAATACATCATGTCTGTGCTGGTTTGCTGAAGGAGCAATTCACCAAGTACCACTTCCTGTGGTTCAGGGCCTCTCATCATAGTCCTGCACATTCTTCCTTTTCAGATAATAATGCAATTCTACCTTGAATGCTTTGATTGACCCTGCCTCCACTTCATTCGCAGGCAGTACATTCACAATCCTAACCACTTGCAGTGTAGAAAATGTTTCCTTATGTTGACATTGCTTCCTTAGCCAATTGACTTGTGCCTGCTGGTTCTTGATCCCTCCATCATTGAGAACAGTTTCTCCCTGTCTATCCTGTCCTGACTATCCTAAAATCTTCTCTCAACCTTCTCTTCTCAAAGAACAACATCTCAACTTCTCCAGTTTTCTACATAACCGAAGTTTCTCATCATTGGAACCATTGTTGTGAACCTTTTCTGCACACTATGCCTTCACATCTTTCCCAAAGTGTGGTGCCTAAAACTGGACATAATACTCCAGTTGGGGTCAAACCTGTGTTTTATTCAAGTTTAACACAACTTCCTTGTTTTTGTACACAATACTCCAATTGATAAAGTCCAGGAAGGTGCACTCAAATGAAAGATACTGCAGATACTGGAAATCTGAAACAAATGCAGAGAATGCTGGAGAAACTCAGTGGACCTCGCAGCATCTATGGAAAGAGTAATAAAGTTAATGTTTCAAGTCCAGTATGACTTTTCTTCAGAACTGCTACCATTTTGTATCCATGTTTCTACTGTTTGCTTTATTCCATGATCTCTGACTTTGCAGACAAGTCTGTTGTGCAGTATTTAAATGCTTTTTGGAAATCCATGTACTCCACATTAACAGCGTTATCCTAATCAACCCTTTGTTAGCTCATCAAAAAGCTCCTAAGTTAGTTAAACAAAATTTACCCTTAACAAATTGACGTTGGCTTTTCTTAATTCCTCTTCATTTGCCCAAGTAATTTTAATTTTGTCCTGAATTATTGTTTCAAAATGCTTTCCCAGCACTTGAAGTTAAATTGACTGGCCTGTAGTTGTTGGGCATAGCTTCATACTTTTTTTGAATGTTTTTTGTCACATTGCAGTATTCCAGTCCCCTAAATCAAGAAAGATTGAAAAATCATGGTCAGTACCTTTGCAATTTCCACTCTGTCTTCCCTCATCCAGTCCTGGTGCCTTATCAATTTTACTTAAAGATGTTGTACACAATGCTACCTCCTAATCAGTTCCAAACACTTCAGATGCTGAATCTAGGACCTCTTTCACCCCATCCTCTCCAATATCTTCTTCCTTGTAAAGACAGATGTTAGGTAGCAACTTGAAAGGATTAATTTAATATCTCAGTCATGTGCGTAAAACCCCTTTTTGGTTGCTCTGTACCTCTCCTTTTGTCAGCTTTTTGCTATTCAAATGTCGACAAATAGCTTTTAAATTCTATTTTATGTAGCTGCTAGTATCTTCTCATTCTGTCTGCTTCTTTTATGTGCTTTTTTTTTCATTTTTCCTCTGAACTTTCAGTTACCAGCCTAGTTTTAGGTTAGATATTATCCAACTGGCATTTCTCATAGGTGCATTTATTCTTCTTCACTTTGATCTCTATGTCTTTTACTATCCAGGGAGCTTTGAATTTTTTGGTCCTATCTATCCACTTTGTGGGAACATATCTTGACTGTGTCAAACAGTCTCTTTTTTAAGAGTAGCCCATTGTTCAGTTACAGTCTTGCCTGTCTCCTATTCAACTAGAGTTCTCAATATTTACACTTTAACGCACAAGAGTTTTTCACCGTACAATTTTGGGGGAAAGGAAAGTTGGGGAATGTTGGGGGAGAAAATTTGTTGTAATGGAAGAAAAAATGTGTTCTGTACTGAAGGATTTTTTTGAATGGAAACTTGTGTTTCTTAGCCTTAATTAATTCTGAGTTACTGTCTTGTATACTATCAAGTGCTGTTCTGGTATTGAGCCAAAATTGTAGCATGCAAGTACTTTGTTCCTAAAGCAAATGCTTGGTTTGCACTTTTATATTTGTCTTTCAATTTTATGTTCCAAAGAACAGATTATAGTGCACAAATAACTATAGATGATATTGATGAATAATGTTCAACACATTCACATGATCTGATATCTTTTCTCTCAGAGGGTCGTGAGTGTTTGGAACTCTCTTCCCCAGAGAGTGATGGAAGCAAATTCATTGAATATTTTTGAGGCAGAGTAGATAAATTCTTGACTAACAAGAGAATCAAAGGTTATCGGAGGTAGGTGGGAACATGGAATTGAGGCCACAATCAGATCAGCCAAAATCTTACTTAATGGCAGGGCAGGATTGAGGGCTGAAAGGCCTGCTCCTGCTTCTAACTTTTATGTTCATATATCCCTGCCTCTATTTGAATGGGGGTCTGTTTTTAATATCCTGATTAGATTAGTGGATGGGGAAATTCAGAAATGAACATGTTTAATATTCATCACTGACATCACCAATAATAATTTCCACTCAACTGAATCATTTGTAAAGATCATTTGAAGTACACTGGACTAAGGTATAAGGCACAAGTCATAGAATACTGAGATAACAAGGTGTAGATCTGGATGAACACAGCAGGCCAAGCAGCATCAGAGGAGCAGGAAAGCTGACGTTTCGGGCCTAGACCCTTCTTCACAGAATACTGCCCACTAGTCTGGATGAGTGTAGCGCTAACAGCCCTGAAGAAGCTCGACATAATCCAAGACAAATCAGCCCACTTGATTCGCCACCTTAAATTCACTCCCATCACCAACAGTGCAGAGTTGCTGCTGTGTGTGGCATCTACAAGATGCACTGCAGCATGTCACCAAAATTCCTTTAACAGCACCTTCCAAATCCGCAGCCTCTACCACCTAGATGGGCAAGAGCAATGAGACATGGGACCACCACCTCCTGCGAAGTTCCGCCAAGTCACATGACATGCTGACTTGGAACTATGTTAGTTCCCCATTTCTGGTGCTAGGTGAAAGTCCTGGGGCATCTCACTTACAACACTATGGATGTACCTACACCAAGTAAGCAGCAATGCGTCAAGAAGATAGGCCACCATTTCAAGAGCAGTTAGGGACATAGATTAAATTCTGGTCTTGCCGAGAATACTCCCATTTCAAGAATAAAAATTAATTAATTATCTCTGGGAACTTAAACTCTGAAATGTCCTTTTGCAGTTGTTCCTTGTAGAGGCCAATCTTTTGGCCAGCACATTTTCTGGCACAAGGCACAGTCAGCTCTGGATGCAGACTGCATAACGCATTCCTCCTAATCTTCAAAGCTACTACCACATAAGAAACTTAAACAGAAAGCTTGACCTATGTTACACATCACTAGGGAAAAAATAATAACATCCAACAGCAGCAGTTCGTAAATGCTGTAGCCACCCTTTTAAAGGGCAAGTTGCAGCAGTGATTTTAAAGTAGATTTACAACGTTACTACAGCAGTAGCTGGGCAATGCTACAACTTTAGGTTTTAGTGGTTGGTGGATCTGTTGGGTTAAGTGCATCAAATGAAGGTGGCTCATTTTGAAATTAAAGACTATCGTCCAGTAAAAGTATACAAGAAGGATACAAAGA